GCACATGCCAATCAATGCGAACATCAACGCATGTGCGTTGCACAGCTTCCCGCCAGTCTCGGATCGATCGGGCCGGGGTGCATGCATTCATGATGCAGTACGGACTCAGTACAATCATAATCATTGACCTTGTAGTTGTAGGTCTACAACAGTGCTGGCAACTGAAATTCGACCCCCTGAGCGGGCGCTCAGGGGTCGGATTTCAGTTGCCAGCACTGTACTACATGTACTAGTACTGCAACTATACTTGTTCTCTTGAAAGTGATGACGTCAAAAACGGCCAGGGAGTACTAAGTTGACATCAGATTTCTATTTTGGATCCACTAAGGTGTGACTTTGCTATTGCCTCAGTATGTGGGTGCATAGCAACCCACTCATGTCGTATGCAGGGGTGACTTTTACTTCGCCCCAGTTGTAACCCCGCCCCCAGTAGCCAAATCAGTCAGTTTCACTGGTTACATCACCTTGCTGTGAGTAAGACGGCTTGAAATGTGCTTGGATCCATACAAAAACTGGATCCAAGTGGATCCAATTTTTGAATTTTTGAAATTGTTGCTATGCTGTGACGTAGCACTTTCAAGCCCTATTAAACTTCGCATGCAAAAGTCAAAGGATATCGCCGAATTGTTGTCATAAATTCAAAATTTCACCCAAAATGCAAGGAAAATTCGCTTTGCTGCCATGGTAACCAATATGGTGCCAGAATTTGCCATAAATTTTATGACTACACGAATGAGGGAGTCGTAAAAAAATACCGGTTTTTAACGACTCCCTGGCATGAATTTACCGTACTGCATAGCATGCGCGTAAGCCTGTAGATATCTACGAAGAGCATCCATGATAACCCCAGGGGTTATGTACTCTTGCCTGTAGATCTACACTTAGACAGGTGCATGCACAATAATAGCCCAGTTATTAGCATTAAAAAGTAAAAAATACGCTCGGTATCTGTTCTTGCTACTGTGCTCTATGGCTGCCAGACCTGGACCATCTCTAGGGGTAAGCGGTATATGCTCTGGAAATGAGCAGATTATGCTCTAACGGATGTTTGCAGAATGCTCGAGAAAACAGCCAATTATGCTTTTATACGCTTCACTAGAAAGACCAAAAGAACATAATTATAATCGTCATGAATAAAGGACTCAGACCATTCTCATGATGTGGACTGGGAGCTTTGTGGAAGTACAGGACAATAATAATTATGCAAGAGGAATACCAAATTCACAACCAAACACTGACCTTTTTTTATCATTCCAAATCAACATAGTCGTATGTTCCTCTTGACTGGATTACACAGAACGGATATAATTATATGATGCCATTTGATTTATGTTTTTGGCAGAACATTCTATTTCCGGCATATGCGAATATGTGGGTTGCCATTGTGCGGTTGACATTGCCGCGGAAATGCATATACCGGTACTTGAAGTAATAATAATAATAATCTGTCCCTGCGGGAATTTGCGGAAAAAATCCTCGGAAACTTGTGCAAGAAATTGCGGTGGAAACAACAAAAAATGCGGCGAAAAGTTAGGAACTATTGGCAGAAAATTGCGGATTTGGGCCAAGTCACGAAATTTGTTGTATCCTTAGAATCGCTATTTGCGTACTGTGGAAATAACCTACAAGCAGGATCATGGAAAGCACTGTATACTGCGTGAAAAGTGCAGAAAAATGTCAAAAGAAGTGCAGAAAACAACAAAAACGCGGGAAATCGCGGATTTTTCAGAAAATCGCGGGTTTAAGCCAAAATCGCGAAATTTGTTGCGTCCATGGAATCGGAATCGTGATTTCCAGGAGGGACAGAATAATAATAATATTAGGGAGGTTCCGGAGTACGATTTTTCGTGCCAAAATCCGTGGAGGCTCTACGGATATTTTATACGTCGTTTTCGAGCAGTGAAAAGTTCCGGGGTACGGAACTTATGTGTTTGCCGTCATTGCCTAGGTTACGATCGCAAACACGTCACATTCCCGCGCTATGCCTTTTTATTTTGAAAATTTGTACCGAAATCAAAACTTCCCGCGAAAAATCGATGTTTCTCGTACCAAATTTGTACGCGAAAAATCTTTCTGCACCCGATGGGCGATGGCGCAAAATCTCCATACGAAATATGGTTCGTATGAAAACCAGTCCACACGGATTCTCCGTGCCGAAAAATCGTATGGAGCACGCCTGGAAAAAATCCGTAGCGCCCATACGGATTTTAGCACGGAAAATCGTACCCCGGAACCTCTCTAATAATAATAATAATCACTTGCCAATAACAAAGACAACAATAATACCATCAGCCGCCATTCACCGGTTTTAACGGTGCTTCACTGATGTTGAATGAGAAGAATTATACTGCTGCCTTCAGTGCTATTGTGTCGCTGAAGGGCTCGATTTCAGATTTGATGACGGTTACTTTTCAACGGATTTTGTTTTCTGATTTAACTCTCTTGCTATTACTGTACCTGCTTGTGTTAAGTCTCATTCTCGCAGATTAGTTGTATAATAGATTGTACATGCATCATTGTAGATTTGCTGTTCACAGTATTTCTCTCTTTTTTCTTTCTTTTTTTCTCAGTCTCCCTTATTATATTTTCTTCACATACAACAGCAGTACTCCCCATGGTCTTAAATGACCCAGGATGCTGCATAATACAAACACAAAACCAATAAAGCCACCCCCATAATAATAATAATAATAATCTTCACTAGTTTGAGGGAAAGAGACAAACGGGAAAAGTCTGAAGAAAAAATTGACTGTCACCACCAGGACTCGAACCAGGGACCCTCGCTTGTAGCTAGCGATGCTCTAACCACTGAGCTATGGTGTAATAATAATAATAATAATAATCGACAAGAAGCGCAACGTACATGTATGGTCCTTGAATAGCAGGTGTGTATATATAACAGCCTCATTGAGCATCTGCCCTTGTTTTTCGGATGCCATTTTATGCCCCTTCTCAAAAGGACCTGATTATGCCAAAAAGTATGCCTTCACTAGCAGGTGTGTATAACAGCCTCATTGAGCATCTGCCCTTGTTTTTCGGATGTCATTTTATGCTCATTCTCAAAAAGGACCTGATTTTGCCAAAAGTTTTGCCGGAATAATCCGCTTACCCCTAGCCATCTCACAAGCTATCATAAAATTAGAGCTTTGAGCTCAGGTATCTGCGTAAGTTGCTTGGCATCAAATACTATCATCATCGCACAAATCAGTCAGTACTGCAGGAAGTCAAAAAATGATATTGGCCCATTCACACGCCTTGATTCAACTTTAAAAGCATATCAAGTTGAAGTGGTTTGGACATGCGGCTAGGCATCATGATAGCTATTTCTTGGATGGAATGGTGCCGGGATCAAGAAAGACCCCGTGGTCACAATCAATTCGGTTCACCAGCATCAAAGACTGATCAATTAATCGTACAATTCTGCCTCTCTCTCTCTCTCTCTCTCTCTCTCTCTCTCTCTCTCTCTCTCTCTCTCGTTGCTGCTGATCGTGATAGGTATAGGCAGCTAGTTTATGAGTGCATTTAGATTCTCTTTTTTCTTCTTTTTATTCTTTTGGTGCTGCCGCCTTATGACACAGGTGGAGCCCCTATGGCCAGAATGGTTACGGATTCTACATACATGTACATAAAATGAACCCAATGCTGTAGACATACATTAGGCTATGACAGTAGCCAACATTCTGGTTGTATTTTGGACACAGGTTATATAAATCTCGAATGAACAGAATAAACCGTGATTGCGGCCATGTAACCGAACGACTACACTTAAAAATCGTAAAACGGGGATCACGTGGGATCCCGTACACCTCGTGCGTACTTGGACCTAGCATGGCATGTATGCCAAGTCCATCGATTCTGGCTGGAGAATTAGCAATTCCACCCTCTCTTCAGAATTGAGGGGTGTGATGGAATTGGATTCCGTCAATTCTGACGATGGAATTTGGGTAATCGAACCGTGCATCCACCATAACTAATTCTAGAATTGACCGAAATGTGTGTAATCAAATGCGCCCATAGTCTGCATGGCAGAAACCAAAAAAAGAAAAAAGAAAAACGCCGACCGACCTTGGTACTGATGAGTGAAGTGACCCAAAACAACGAATTAATTCTGGGTGGCCTTATTATTGTAATTATAGTTTCCGTAGAGATAATGCTTTATTATCATATGCCGCCGGGATATTGTAGAAATGACTGTAGAATTGTAGTATTGAAGTACATGTAAAATAAAGATTTATATTATTATTATGATTACTATCATTACGAAGTAGTGGGTGCGACTTCGGCGATGATTATTATCATTATTATGATTATTATTTACAGTACTTAACTTCAGTTTCTTTGGTTGTATCCTTAGTTTTAGTTCCGTATTTTTCCCACTGATGATAGGAACAAGAAAATCGATTCTGGGTTTTCAATGATTAATATTATTATGATTATAATGTATACACACCATGTAGTCTACCATGTACCGTGTATACGCACGTAGCAAGAGAAGCACGCAAATCTGCAAATGCACCAGATGTGCACCCACATGTTTTCTCTTATAGCAACGATAGCGGACAATATCTGAATGAGACAGATCAAGACTAGCGCCAGATAACTGACCAATCCACACAACCTGCAAAGCCATGTGAATCGACCACCAATGCACACCTGGTCTACACCACATGGAGTACATTGGCACACAACAGCCAAGACAGTTACCTATGCCTGAGTACTGGGAACCAAGAGCCAACGGACATACCAACAACCTCAGCCACACGCAGACAGACAGTACAATGAATTATGTAGTTTTGACGTGACTGGCCGTCTTGAGCAGACCTGTACCCTGGTATTGCACTACTGCCTGTACTAGTAATGTTTGCCCGGGTTTCGTGCAAACCAGTGCTCATACAAGGGACTGGCTGTAGTGACTGCCTGCAGCGCATCACCTGGCGGCTGCTTTCCTAAAGCACGACGTTATTATTACAAACGCAATTCTCCAAACTTCCATGGGCTCCATACGTACAATTACAACACACTGAATAAAATATCCCCGCATCCCAAAGCTTTCTAAAGGATCAGTTACAAAGCATAAAAAATAACGCTCGCAAAATCGTTTATATTATAAAGAGTTTGCGAGCATTGTGCGAGCATCCATGGAAGCATAATTCCACAATTTCGCAATCATAATTCGCCGTAGTCCACAGGTCGAACGAAGTGTCAAAATGCTGTGAAGGAAAAAACACCCAAATGTGTATGAATCTATATGAAAACTGGACCCAAAAAGTCAGCGCTGTCATGATGGGCTAGCTGCAACATAGCACTCTTGAGTCCAATAATATGGAAATAAATTAAAGTAAGAAAAGGACCAAGGAACTACGCGTTACGTTATAATGTGCACTACCATCAGTTACCTGACACTCAGCTCATGCGATAACATTGAACGACGGTACTGACGTTCTACTTCGAAGTACAAATAACTGGCTATCAGCTATAGCCCGTCTTGGATGCGCACTCCAACAGACGGAATCTGGGTCTGAGAGTCGAAACTAAAATTAAGCTTTCGCCAAAGTATGACAGAAAGGCAGAGATGTCAAAACGTTTTCAGTGATTTGATGGATACCATAGGCTCACATACTTCGAACCTGTCCATTGGCATGTGCAAACAGTGATGCAACACTCCCACTGCTGCTCGGTGTGTGGAAAAAAGGAAGAAAAACAACATCTTTCTTGCTAAGGTGCTCACTTTGCGAAGTGCACTGCATCCTGTTTACTGCTGCTTACTGCTGCTTACTGCTGCTGAAGACTGAGCCGCTCTGACTCATCTTTGGCATTGCTGCTGTGAGCAGTCTGCCCACTAGTTTTCAAACGAATACAGTCACTGCCTGGTGCAGCAGATGCGGTGTTTGCTGCTACCATGGCCACTGTTGTTGCTGCCATGGCATCTGTTGCAGTGGTTGCTGCCATGG